CCTATATATAGGGCCTTATAACCTAAGGCTATACTACAGTAGGCCTACATGTATTAATTTTTTATATACAGTATATTATATATACGCCGTGGCTAGAGAGGTACGGTAAATGATATTACGTCACGATTAGCCAATATAAACGCTGATACACGCGTGACGTCATTCAGTGCACTGCTGCTGCAAGAATAGCGAGTGTGTTAGCAACGACGATCGAAGACTAAGAAACTTTGTTCGTTCGCGAGTGTTGTTGACAAGCTGTGATTAATTGTATTCTGTAGCCGAGGCCCTATAGCAATTAAAAAGCATAGTTTTGCTAGATTTGGCGACATCAAGCCAGAAAAAAAACATCGCCTTAAGGGGATGTCCGCGAAATATTTGTTTTCTAAACAGACGCATCCTCTGAGGCATTTTGGGCGATCAATTTTTTCCCCTTTTTTAACTTCTTATTAAATTAAATTCATAGCCAGTTTTCAACTAGGGTGAGGGCCTAAGACAGCCAGTAACAACAAGGAAAGGTCGGACCTAGGCCTAGAGATGTTCAGGCAGGCCTATCCTACCTAGGCATAGGCCAGCCTACTACTCTCTAGCTAGGCCCTCCGGCTTCGCTAGGTTTCGGAAAGGCAGGGGTAGCTAAGGCCTAGGCATGGCTTCTACTATTAAAATACTTTATTCTCGCTTGATGTCGTCAAATCTAGCAAAACTGCTATCATTTTTAATTGCTATAGGGCCAACAACACCCGCGAACAAACAAAATTTCTTATCTCCGATCGTTGCCAACACACACTCACTATTCTTGCAGCAGCAGTGCACTGAATGACGTCACGCATGTATCGGCGTTTCTATTGGCTAATCCTAACGTAATATCATTTACCGTACCTTTAGCAATCGGAAGTTCCGATACGGTACCGTATCTCTAGCCACGGCGATATATATATAAGGGATATGACCGGTTGAGCCGCCGACAAGTTGAGCCGCCGGTAATTTCTATGGAACATCAAGCGCGTCTCTCAGTGAATGTAGTGTCTCTCAGTGAATGTAGTCGGCTTGCCGATGTCATCAGTGAATGAACCCCCCGGATATTCATTCCACAGTCTTGTCAGTCGTTGATTTGCTCGTATTGCCGTTTGTGATGTATAATTGTGTAATTGAAAATTAGAATTTTGATTATTTTATGTACTACATTTTTATAAAAATAAATGAAGTTGTATAATTGCAAAATTGTATTAAAAATGTAATTTTATGTTTAATTAAATTATTGATAAATGATAAGAATGTATGGAGTTTTTTTTTTTACTATCTGGCAAGCTGACTGAGCAAATACTCACAAAATTTAAATTAAAACGATAGAAAGAACAAGTAAATAAATTGAAATACGTCCCAAAAATATTTAATAAATCAGTGCAAAAACCGAAAAATTTAAATAATTGAGTAAATAAACTGAAATACATCCCAAACAACAGTACCAAGAACGAATAAGTTAATTGAAATACGCCGCAATTAACGCACTACATTCACTGAGAGACGCGCTTGGCGTTCCATAGATATGGCTCAACTTGTCGGCGGCTCAACCGGTCATAAATATATTATAGGCCTACTATAATATTAATATATAGGCCTATAGCCCTATATGTATATAAATTTGTATATATAATAGGCTAGGCTACTGTATATTGCCAATTCAATGTAAAAATTGGACATAACTAAAATTGGAAGCCCCTCTAGCCTAGAGGCCTCTAGGCCGAATAGCCTAGCCCAGGGAGTTGTTATAGTAACTAGGCCTAGCCCTAGCCTACTATAAGGGCCCTAGGTAGGCTTAAACTAGGCCTAATTTTTTTCACTTAAAATATTTTAAGTGCAAATCCCAGGTCCTGATTGGATCAGAATAGTTAATGGTGGTACAAAATTTACCGAATGACCCTCAACAGCAGCTAAACATACTTACGATATTTCGAGGTAAATTGATTTAGAACAAGCGTTCTTAACACAAGCCAACAAAACAAGCAGCAGCAATCAATGTGCGCAAGTTGTCAGCTATGGAGCGCCCACAGTGCCTTCTGCGGAGACTTTTCGTACAGGCCCAAAATCATGGTAAATTAATTCATAGGTGGAATTCAACCAATGAGCGTTCGGGGTTGAAATGGGTCACCGCACATGACCTTAGCTTTTTTTTAAATTAAAATTGTCGTTCGCGATTTTCGTTTTTCGTTGAGAAGCGATGTTTTGATGCGGTGTATCATTCATAATATTCTGGTTTTAATTAATTATTTGTTAGGAGAAACATGGTGAGACATAAATGGACATAGGCCTACAAAGGGGAACGAAATTTGGTAAAAATCGTAGCTATTGGTAGATTTCCCGTTGATTTATAATCAGGCGGTACTGGGGAAGGACTTGCTCCACAACAAGAGCGTTGGTAATATTTCTATCATGTATATAATTAGTATTAGAATTAGAAAGCTTTCTTTTTACTGGATACCCAATCAATGTTGGGATATTGTTCTCCTTGGGGTCCAGATAACAAAAACTTAAATTTCATACAAAATTAAATGAAAATCAAAATTCTAATGAAGGGTTAAGTACAAGAAGCATATTTAAATTAGATCTTTGAAATATTTTAAAGTAAGTGAGTGTATAGTGCTGTGAATATTTGATGGTAGGTTATTCCAAAGTTTAGCAGATTCATATTTAAAGGCTGTCTCTTATACACATCTAGATGTGTATAAGAGACAGCAATGAACCCAGTGGCGTATCTATCAAAAAGAATTTTCTTTTTTTCTCAATTCTTTTTTTATTTTGAAAAATTTAGGGAGGGGTGAAGAGTCGGCTTCCCCCCCCCACTTGAATCCACCACTGGAAACCACCTCAAGGGTAGCCGATTTTATTACTGATGTATACACAAATTATATTATCAAAAATCTTATCATCAACTGGTTGAGCTTGCTCTTGGCTTTTCCCTTGTATTGCTTATTACTGATCCTGAGTTGTATTTGTTTAATTATTGCAATTTTTGTAGCATAGGTACATGAACTCAATAAAATAGTATCTACTTCATACAAAGTCGGATATGATTAATTACCAGTGTGTATGAAAACCACCTTTAAGGGTAGCCCATTTGATTTCTGAGGTGATTGATATTAGCTTTTCTTAAACATATATATATATATATATATATATTGTATATACTGTATACATATTATTTAAAATTATTTACCACTAGTATTATATTAAACAATTTTTGTCATTCAAGATCTCTATAAAGCCCCTTTTACAATAGACACGATTACGACATGATGACATATCATCGTGTAGTTTGTATTCTTCAACACTGCGTGCATCTGTATCCTGTCGTCGTGTCGTAATCATATCTAGTGTAAACAGGGCTTTAAACTAGAAATTTTAATTTGCGTTGCGTTTTATCGCCGCTCCTTTTCTCAATCTATACTTGTAATTTACGATGCATCAACACCTCTTGCAAATTAGTTAAGTTCGCAGACGATATGTGCATTACTGGTTTAATAAAAAACAATGATGAATCTGCTTATAGAAATGAAGTTTCCCATGTTATTAACTGGTGCTCTTATAACTTCTTAGTTATCAATGCTAAGAAAACAAAGGAAATGATTTTTTATTTCAGGAGAAGCAATACAGATACAGATCAACTCATTGTCAATAATGAAAGAGTAACTAGAACATCAGAACATAAATATTTGGGTATCATCATAGATGATAAATTAAACTAGAATAAACACACACAAGGTGTTTATTCCAAGCCAACTCAACGTCTTCATTTTCTTAGGAAGCTAAATAAGTTTAATGTAGGGCAGGAAACACTATCTCTCTTCTATCAGAGTGTAATAAAATCAGTTATTTGCTTCTGTTGTATTGCCTGGTTCAGCAGCCTTACAAAGAAAAATAGTAAACAAATTAAGAAAATAACCAGAGTGGCAGGAAAAATTATTGGTATGGAGCTTCCAAGTATAATAAGCAGTCTTTGTGATAAGTCTGCCCTTACGAAATTAGATAAAATATTACAGGATGAGTCTCACCCACTTTTAACAAATCAGGAAGAATCAGACAAACTACTGTTAAAACAAATCGGTTAAAGAATTCATTCATACCTCACACATGTCAGCTCTACAGTAGTCAATTCTCCAGATAATGAGTATTATTTAGGTACCTTTGTTGTTTAAGCTCAATTCTACTGTCTTTCTCTTTAGTTAAGTTAGTTAAGCTTTTTGGTGCTATTGTATTTGTGATATATTTATATTTTATGTGATGTGTTTGTGTTTTTTTGTTTTTAATGTATAAGCACAGGAGTGCAAATCTCATGTATATTTTTTGTATATGTGACAATAACATTTATCTTGAATCTTAAAATCTTGATCACACACATCAGGTAATCCATTATCACACAAATTATCACCAAAGTGTATGAAAAACACTTTAAGGGTAGCCCATTTGATTCCTCAGGTGATTGATATTAGCTTTTCTTTATATTAAACAACTTTTGTCATTCAAGATTTCTATAAAGCTCCATTTACACTAGACACGATTATGACACGACGACATATCATCCTTTAGTCTGTATTCTTCAACACTGCGTACATCTGTATCATGTCGTAATCATATCTAGTGTAAACGGGGCTTTAAACTAGAAATTTTAATTTGATCACACACATCATCAGATAATCCATTATTATCACACACATTATCATGCAATTCATTATACAGTATCTGTATTATTAACAAACTTGATGAGCAAATTTTATAACAACTTTATCAGGGTCTTCATCATTGGTCATTTCTCTCCTGATAAATTTCCATTTCTTCTCCTTTTCCAATCTTTCTATTTCAGCTTCCAGTTTTCCTTTGCTATAAGTTGGTGCATCTTTCAACCATTTCATACGAAATGCATTAATGATGTAGCCACCTGTGTTTTAATGATATAATCATTGTAAGTACCATATTTTAATATAGCCACATGTATTTTATATAAATATATTTATATATACCTGAATGGTTATTTATACATAATGACGTACAATATGTAAATATAGACTGGGGTTGATGCAGGAAGGGGGAAGGAGTACAGATGGTGCGATCACACCCCCATTAAATTGTTATTAACACTGGTTTTTTTTAAATATTAACATTCACATTTTATATAGCGCACATTTCTCAATATACATCATAATCATTTTTTAATTTTATTATTATCAAGTGAACATAATATTGGTAAGACATTTAAAGGTCCATATCCTCAAAATTTTCTCACCCCAGCCCCCAACAATAGTGGGGCTGACGTGGTGTGGACTCTCATGCACCCCCTACCGCCAAATCATGCATCCACCTCAGATAGAAATAGAGAATGCAAAGAATTACAAAGCACAAATTAAACAGTTCCCCCAATACGGGCATGTTCTTTCAGTGCCACCGAGAGGGGGCAGGGAGAAGATCACTTGGGCTCAAGCTTACAAGGGGCCCATAGATATTGGAGGTACCATTTTTTATATTTTTTTCAAAAATGAAAATTACTATCATGGGCCCTCAATAATGGCATGGGTCCCCTAATAATGGGCACCTCCAGATTGACAGGATCCCACCCAAAATACGTTTGCGCCTTCGGTGCAATCTTTCTCACGCTCGTAACTGAGGGCCCACACCAACCCTTGCCCCGGTTACATTTTCCCTCTTGGCAGCCCTGTGTTCTTTGTAACTGATTACAAGAGTAGTATTCAAATTATGTTAATGTTAAATTAGTAATACACAATAAATGTAATAAATAAATAATGATTTTCCACAAAATACTGTATGTGGATATGATTAAGTTATTACCTGGTTTCACACATCGAATCCACTCTGAAAACACTGAGATGGGTAAGTGATTTTTCGCCATGCCTCCGTAGCAAATAAGAGCATCATATGAATCTAAAAATACAATGACAGGAAGAACAATAAAAGCATTAGCAAAATATAATAATACTAAATATTGGTGATTAATATTTTTTAATATTAATTAATTAATATTAACATTTTTTACTCCAATAAACTCGCCCTTTATGGTATGCAAGCAACGAATCAGAAAAACATATTTATACAATCGATAATAATATTTGAAAAGTACTGTGGAGGCCTTTTTGTTCACGGCCCTAAAATGTTGCCATTATTTTCTTAATTCTAGTACAGTATCACTTAGTGATACCAATATATTTATTGTTGTAGATAAAAATTGAGCATGTAACCAGGCATGCAAAAAAAATATTTGTGCCTCCGACAATTAAAATGATCAATTATCTTGATAAAATGTCTCCAGCACCAAATGTTATCTGTATACTATATAGCCCAACATTTTATTCTGTAGAATTTTTCGTCCCAAAATGCCCCCAGAACAGTCATGCTGCCTCTGACCACCAGTTGCGCACTTTTTCCAGCCCTGCATGTAACAAATTATTTTTTTGCACAAGATTTCATTGCATAAGATATGCTGAATGCATTCCAAATGGAAAGGCAGTACATTAACTCAAGTTTCATAATAACAATAAGAAAACTCAAGTTTCATAATAACAATAAGATAACAACAAAATGAGAGAAACAATAACAAGATTTCTGCGATGTTCCTGTGCAGCCAAGGATAATGTTTGTGTGCATTTGCTAGGCCTACTACCTTGTGTATTAGACAAAAATTTCACACTTAAAAAATTGTACATTTTTATTTTGGCTTACATAAACATTTTTTTCAATATTGAGGATTTACAACATTTTATGAAAAAGCCAAACAAATTGATGGTTTTTGTAATCTGAAATTAGTTCCCTGTAAAATATAATAAAGCGAAGCATAAGGTTTCTGTGAAGACCCAGCCAGACCCTTCCCCCTCCATTAGTTTAGTTGCTTGCTTTCCTTGTAAATAACACTAAACAGATACACTACTATATTTACCATCATCAATGCTTAATCTAGCATCGCTTACAAATTCAACAATAAAATTTTTATAGACGTTTCGTTTTCTGGCTTGTTCCATACAGACTGAACTTCCATCAAAAGCATCAATGTTAGTGTAGCCGTTGTCGTGAAGCTGACAAAGTAAAGACAAAATACATGGTAGGAATGAAAGTATTATACATACTCCAAGTACTGAAATGCACCCCATCGTTTTGAGATTCAATATTTCAACATCAATTATGTCATCATAGTATGAATGCATGTAACACTTTGACACTCTTTGAAAAGAATGCTAAACTCTGTCCTGACCATCAAACTTTCTCTTTGACAAAAACCATTGTATGCCCATATATAGTCATGATGTGCCTATATATGGTCATGATGTGATGTTATCATGACCATATTTGGGTTAAATCATTAACCATGACTGGGTAAAGACAACTTGATTTCTTGCTTCGAAAAAGATATCCATTTGTAGAAGTCTTATGAAATAAGCCTATCCAATAGTGACGTTAAAGGGTCGGGACATACCTTCGACTTTAGATTGACGGAGATTGAATTGACTGTATGTTAAATACAGGCACAATGTATACACAGGCCGAGTTCTAGAGTCCAGTTAAATATATAATTTTGTATCTAAATGATATATTTATATACAATATATATATTTATCATAAACATTATGCGCAAATATGTATTTAGAAAAATAAATAAAATTTAACGAAAATATGGAAGAAACATTATAGGAAGAAAGAAGAATAGGAAAGAAATTTGGAGCGGCTGAAATATTTACCGAAAATAAACAATAATAATCATTTTGTCATTATTGCATCACATTTTTGTGAAAATTTGAAATGGCACTAATCATCACAGGTCAAGGTGCCGGTAGCCTGCACGTTTCATGTATTCGACACCACTTTGTGTCTCTAAGACATGCGCGTATTCTTGGCACTGTTCTGATTGGTCAGTTGTAGTTTGATTAACACTCCGGAAAAGTTGATTGTCCTTCATAAATTGTATGCGTATCTCAAATATACACAATAGCCTTATCAAGGAGGTACCTCCTTGATATTATGTACTATATTTTGTACAGCCTTCAAAACAGTATGTGGGTGATTATTGAATACTTTTAAGTACACTGTACTTACAAGCTTTCCAAAGAGTCCAGTTGATGCAGCGAAGTCCAGTATGCGAGTACTCTTGTTTGGGATCAGGTCTATTACAGTACGCAATGTCATGACATGTCCATCATCCTGATACGGACCAAATACCTTGAAACAAACCATTTCGGCAAATTTGATTTTTATTGATTTAATGTGCTTGTTTCTTTCTTTTATAATAAACAGTAATACTATTTTTCATCCTTTAAAGAAAGTTGTTATGCAATAATACTTATAAAAACAGTAGAAATTTTGAAAAATAAAAGCTGTTAAAACATTGATAGAAGTACAATTAGAAACCAGTCTGGTTCTGGTGGGTAAAGCCGACCTTCTAAGAATTCCAAAAGTAGAATAGAAATATAAATAGAAATGGAAATAGTGTTGAATGGTAGGAAAGGTCCACCACTTCAGTTTTAGACGGGCGCAACGTCGGTCACGAAGAGGATTGCCGTACCGCCTCAGGCCGCATTGGACCTGATAGGTAGGAAAATCACAATCACACGAGCATTGGCTTTGTGAAAAACCACATATTACGAATTTTTCGAGCTCAACATCGGAATTTAAGGTCAGAATATTGATTCAATAATTGAAATACATTCTTTTTTAAGTTTATACACATTTAATAAAATCCACCAAAAAAAATGAAAATACAATTTTTATAATGATGACGAAGTTGTTTACTTTTCACAAACATGTTGAAATTTGTGGGGATTCACCATTTAGGCCTATGCCCTAGATCTGCGTTGAAGAAAACATCTAAAGGAGAGCAAAAAATAGGTCTAAAATTTATTGGGAAAAAAAATGTCTCATGTGATGTGAATTGAGACGATTTTGGCTTGCTCTGCCGTTTTAATCATTGTGCTACCTATGACTCTGAAATTGTGAGTGTAAACAGCATTTGGTGGAGGAGAAATTTCTATTATCTTATTGGCTAACATGTGATTTGGAGGCGTGGCTTCTTTGATGGACTCACCCAGACGCGACTGCCAAACTTTGAACTTTAACTTTGTTTACGCCGCGAGTTCATGAAAGTCAGACATGGAGTTTCATGAAATGGAATCTGAAAATTGGTAGACATTTTAACGAACTTTCAGCAGAAAGGAACATCGAAATGAGTGCATACTATTGCAAATTAACTTCGTGTAGGTAAATAAGGGTCTTTACAGGCCTGTTGCGCTATTCATATTGGTGGTTTTTGTATTAATTTTTGTACAGCATTGATTGAAGTAGCCGGCGAAAACATCGTAGTAGCCGATCGAATGCGCCGGCCGCCGGCTCTTAAGTAAACCCCTGTCATATATAAAAAGTCTTAAGAATGGAATCAAATTTATATTTAAAAAATATGTTTTTGTTGTACCAGTAAACATATTTGCAAGAAATACTGAGCTTTTCAAGTGAAAAAAAATCAGATTTTCCCCAAAAGTGATGAGGGAGCGGGTGATAAACTAATAATTTTTTTATGGGGCCTTATATAGGTCTCCCATCAATTAAAGACCACTTTTGGGACCAGGGCTTCCATGGTCTTAAACAGCTTTGGTCTCTAATAAGAATTGAATAACAAAAATAAGACATTTGTTAATTTGGGACCACAGAAAGGTGGTCTCTATTAGAGGGGTCTTTTATTATAGGGAGACCTGCATCAGCAGTTTTATGCTTTCAATACTTCTATTATATTTGCATATGTCCCGTAAAATATAATAGACCTACATTCCATTTATTTGTTTAATTTAATACTTCGTATACTTTTACTGTTGATTTTAATTGCTGCTTCCTGTTCCTACAGTAATCATAAGCCCATTTTTAGCCTTTTAATTATCATTACTAGCTTCCCCACATCCCACCACTTGATCATTCATTGTATTTAGAGGCCTATCTGTTTACCTGTGCTTATACCAAGCCAATTTTACATAGGGTTGTTCAGTGTTTAAGCTGTCATTAGCCAAATCCTAATAAAAGCTGAATTTTGCTAAATATTTTTGTTCAAAATTAGCCAAAAAAGCTATGGAATTGAAGCTATTATTGCTTATATTCTTTTGTTTTGACTAATCAAATTTCTGTGGTATTTTTATACCAAATTAGCCAAATTGCAAAATATTATTTTTGGCCAGCTTAAAACCTGGTCGTTTCGGGCTTGAGTCGAATTGGGCCCCAAGTCGTTTCGGCCTTCAGCTTTGGTTCATGGGATACTACTTCTATTACACTCATAAACGTTCACTTTTTAATCACTTTAAATTCAGTGTATTTCCATTTTATTTTGCAAAGTGTTTTGCTGTAATTTGGATGCACCACCAGATGGTGTGTGCCACTGAAGCAAACGTGTTTCCAATCAATTATCAATTATTCTTTTGTTCTTTGATTGATTTCTGTTTTGATTGTAAGTAATTTGTAAGTCTTTGTGTATTTTACCTGCTTTTTAGGCTTCTCAATTTATATTTATATTTTTTAAAATTTTGTAAAGAGTACAGTAGTTGTTTTGGATGCATCGTTAAATATGTTTACTGTGTGCCACTGATACAAGTAAGCAATGCAATACATATCCGATAGCTGTATAAATTAGAACCCATTACAGTATAACAATATAGTTGAATGTATATTTAATAAAACCAAAGTAAAGAAAGTGAATTCCAAATTATTGTAGTGACACATACAGTAAAAGGCTAATTAAACAAACATTCCTGTTCAATATGAGATGGTAGTGTCTGGTAGTATATACAGTAGTATATGTCACAATTTAAAATGAGTCTGACATTTAAAAAAAATTTGATGTTGTCCTATGAAACTAAAACCTACTCAAACTATAACATGGCTGATTGTAATTTTTACTAGTGCAAATAATCACAATTTTCCAGGTAATACATAATAATAAATAATAATATTAAAAAAATATTATTATTGAAAATTATTATTATAAATAATAATAATAATAATAATAATAACAATAATAATAATAAGTATAATAATGATACTGAGATTGAACAGGTTAATGAGTACAAATACTTAGGTTGCATTGTTGACAGCAAGTTAACATGGACCTTACATGTAGATAAAGTATATTTTAAGGCAGCTAAAGGCTTTACCTTGTACGTCAAATGAAGATTTTAAGTGTTGATACCAAATTTATTCATCTCTTCTTCGAATCAGTCGTTCGTAGTATCATGAATTTTTACTTCATTTGATTTTATCAAAACATGCTAATTTTAAAAAGCAAAGCTAAATAATAAAATTTGTAAAAAAGCAAGTAAGATAATTGAATTCGAACTTGTTGATTTTATAAGTCATTGTATCAGAACCAAGTACTGAATATGGTTAGGCACACAAAGGAAGACGAAACTTTGTTTTAATAATGGAAGATAATAATAAAGTACATTCATATTCGTCTGTGTGTATCTTCAAATGTTGTTGTTTTTTCCATAAAACTTCTTTTTACAATTTTGACATTCATATCGTCCTGTATGTACCCTCAAATGTTGTTTTAAATCACAATTTCTATTAAATTTCTTTCTACAATGTTCACATTCATATGAAGTTGCTCAAGTACGTATTCTTAAATTTTCTTTTAATTGGCTACTTCTTTTAAATGTTATTTTCACAGTGTTTACATTCATATGGTCTTTCTCCTGTATGTTTCCATACATGCGTTTTCAAACTGGACGATTGTTAAATTTCTTTACAATGTTCACATTCGTATGGCCTCTCTCCTGTATGTATCCTTACATGTGCTTTCAAAGCAGTGGACCGTTTAAATTTCATTCCACAATGTTCACATTCAAATGGTCTTTCTCCTGTGTGCATCCTCAAATGTTGTTTTAAATCACTCCTGCTACTATTAAATTTCTTTTCGCAATGTTCACATTCCACATTCATTTGGTCTCTCTCCTGTATGCATCGTTAAATGTTTTTGCAAAGAGCCTCGGTATTTATATTTCTTTCCACAATATTCACATTCTTGGTGTTTCCCTTCTGCGTCCAACAATGTTAACATTCCTATGCAGCTTTCCACAATGTTCACATTCATTTCTCTCTCGTGTAGTAGTATGTACTCTTACATGCATTCTCAAACCAGAATGCTGTTTAAATTTCTTTCCACAATGTTCACATTCAAATGCTCTTTCACTTTTGTGTATCCTTAAATGCTTTTTTAATTCACTACTACTATTAAATTTCTTCCCACAATGTTCACATCCATATGGCTTCTCTCCTGTATGTATCTTCAAATGTTGTTTTAAATTATAACTTCTACTACATTTCTTTCCACAATGTTCACACTCATATGGAGTCTCTCCTGTATGTATCCTCAAATGTTGATTTAAATGATTACTACGATTGAATTTCTTTCCGCAATGTTCACATTCATATGGTCTCTCTCCTGTATGTATCCTCACATGTTTTTTTAAAGCAGGGGACTGTTTAAATTTCTTTCCGCAATGTTCACATTCAAATGGTCTTTCTCCTGTATGTACCCTCAAATGTTGTTTTAAATTACTACTTTTATAAAATTTCTTTCCACAATGTTCACATTCATATGGAGTCTCTCCTGTATGTTTCCATACATGTGTTTTCAAACTGGACAATTGTATAAATTTTTTTCCACATTGTTCACATACATATGGAGTTTCTCCTGTATGTATCCTTAAATTTTCTTTTAATTGGCTACTTCTTGTAAATGTATTTTCACAGTGTTTACATTCATATGGTCTTTCTCCTGTATGTTTCCATACATGTGATTTCAAACCGGACGATTGTTTAAATTTTTGTCCACAATGTTCACATTCATATGGTCTCTCTCCTGTATGTATCCTTACATGCGCTTTCAAAGTGCCACGCTGTTTAAATTTCATTCCACAATGTTCACATTCAAATGGTCTTTCTCCTGTATGTATCCTCAAATGTAGTTTTAAATCACTGCTTTTATTAAATTTCTTTTCACAATGTTCACATTCATGGTCTCTCTCTCCTGTATGTGTCTTTAAATGCGTTTTCAAAAAGCTACGGTATTTAAATTTCTTTCCACAATATTCACATTCATGTTGTGTCCCTTCTGTGTGCATCTGTATATGTTTTTCAAATTCACTGTTGCGCTCAAATTGTTTTTCACAATGTTTACATTGAAATGGCACATCTTCTGTTTTGATTCCCAAATGTGTTTTTAAAGTAACTAAATCAAACTTTTCCCCACAATGTTCACATTTATATTCTCTCTTGTCTTTTCTGCAAAGTTCCTTAGAACCACCCTGTTCATTTACTTTTACTTCATTAAATTCAGTCACATTTTTTTCCTTGGTGTTGTGGTCAGTAGACATTTTATATAATGGTTCCAGTGTTTTTCAGGTATCAACACTACAAATTTTGATTTCATTTATTTCTTTCTACTTTTGAGATTCCATACAGTAATAAACAATGTAAAATTTATCAATTTCTTATCAAATGAACTTCTTGGCAAAGCTGTGAAAATCCTGAATACCAACCTAAACAAAAATATTGAGATAAATATCATATTAATAACAATAATAATATGTTATAATAAAGGCCTCCAAGCGCTTCACATTACTATCCCCAGTCATTGGATCAGACACATATGGAACACTAACTCAAGCTCCCTGGGGAGTATTCCATAAAGTTGCAGCAGCTACATTTTGGCAACCCTACCAGTAGTACCCGTTTATATTCTTGGGTGGAGAGAAGCAATGCAGATTAAGTGCCTTGCCCAAGGACATAAGTGAAATGTACAGTGAGGGGATTGAAACCCCAACATCCAGGTTGGACAACCCACTGCGCCAAACCACTTCTACAATTGAAGATAAGGTTATTATTGCCGCTAGGCCATTGCCATTGAAAATGGGGAAAATACCAACAAAGCATGATATTTAGATATATAAAGGTTAGTTTAGTATATATAGGCCTATATATAGGCCTAGCCTATACTAGGCCTACATGTAATAATTGTTTATAAATACAGTATATATAGCCTATTATATAGCCCTATAAATATATGTATATAAAAGGCTAGGCCTACAGCAGTAGTACTGTATAGACATGGCCTAGCCTAGCTAGGTAGGCAAGCTAGTCTAGTTCTAGGTATCATTGGTATTAGGCAGGCCTAGAGTACATTATTTAAATGCACACTACCACATGTAAAACTCTCGCTAACTTAATCTCTGCATGACCCTCAACAGCAGATAAACACGCTTACGATATTTCGAGGCAAACTGATTTACAACAAGCGTTGTTGACACACAAGGCAACAAAACAAGCAGCAATGTGCACACGCCGCAAGCGCAAAGAAGGCACAAGTTGTCAGCATACTATGGAACGCCCACAGTGCCTTCAGGGGCGACTTTTCGTCTGGCTCAATTATCATTTTGCTGCAACTTTATCATTTGCGAAGTTTGCGTTATCAATATTGGTTAATTATAGCGGCCCTGAAAGCCTAAAATACACCTTGACTACATTCACTTTCATGAGTGATCATTATTAAGGTGCACTACTACATATTTCATAAATATCTGCAGTAAGTACAGTATACCATACTCAGAGTCATACTTCAACCTTATATGGTTGCAGACAAGAAAATCAGCCTACCGCTTTTAAAAGAAACACTCATAAATATGCTGACTATTTTTCACGAAACTATTGTTTGCTATATTAGAATTTAATCCTGTCAAATTAAGATCCTCTGGAAACCGTTTATAGCCAATTTCCAGGCTACCCAAGTTTCGTCATAAAAAGTAAGTAATTTTGCATAACAAGTATATTGACAAGAAAGTATAATACATACTCCAAGTATTGAAATACACGCCATCGTGTTGGGATTCAATATTTCGACATTAATTATGTCATCATCAGGAATGATGATGACATCATACAGTCAATGTATATTGACTGTATATTGAAATATATTCTCTAATAAATGTATTACAAAAAAGCTATACGTTCCCACCAACATAACTGAATGGTATCCAACCAGTTTGTCGAAATCCAGTTTGCTGAAACCCGGTTTGCCAACTTAATGGCAGGCCAGCCGGCCACTTTGTCGAAACCCCGTTTGCCAACCAGTTCACCAAAAACACATGAGAACTCAGTTTGACATAACCTGGTTTGCCAAAACCCTGTTTGTCAAATTAATTCTTTTTTAAACGTCGTAGGCTACATAAAAGCACAGCACACTCTGCTTTCGAAAAATCATGGGTGGGTCAGGGAGAAGGCTTATTTATACGTAACATTATTTTAATTACCAATTAATCCAATTATAATGTCTCTATGATTTAAGTTTGCCATTGTTAAACAATTTTCGTTTTCAGTCGAATTCGATTTTCAGTTGATGCATGGTTTGGGGGATGTGAAGGTGAAAAGGGAGCGATCAATGATGTGAAGGATGCTGCTGGCAAAAAGTGATCTTTAACTACTGGGAGAAATTTTTTTTTGATTGAAATTTCCTGTGAGTGGTAACAACTTTTTGGAGGCATGCATCAACCAATAAAGGTGAATACGTACTTACAGACCTGTCAGGTCTCATTCACAACTGCTGTTTCATTACTTGAGTCTACCAGAGGAATGTGCGATGGCGTAGGAAGGTAGGAAGAAAATGGTCACGGAACCCCCAAAATGACTTTACTTATTGCGCTGCTAGACGGAAGTAGGGCCTAATGAAACGCCAGTAGAGGTCTCAAAATGTTCTGTAAGTACATCTTCAACTTTACTGGTTAATCGAAAAAACAACTTCACAACCTATATATACAGATACTTTCATGAAGATTTCAAGAATCCCTTTTACTGTCAAGAAACAAACAAGTGGACAATAAAATTCGTTTTACCTCTGGCTAAAAATACACTAAAAAACGCCATAATAATTATACCCAAAATATGGGCATCACATGTATTTGTCGCATAAAACCGGATAGCGTGAGATGGAGCTTAATGGTACACAGACACTGTAAAATCTTTCAGAAACATAGGCCCTATTGTGCCACTAATTCAGAAACAACAATAATACTACAATTTTTTAAAAATTTACTTAAAGGCAACAGCACCTCTATCCTAGTGGGTGCTGTCGATAAAATTCTCACAATAAATACATTTACATATTGCAACTATCTAACTAAAACATTTTTTAAAGACCATGAAGTTATAAAAAAAATACTTTTATTTAAAAAAAATTAATGTTTTTAAATTACTTTTGGATATATCTTGAAAAAAGAGGTTATTCCATTCTTTTTTACTGGTGTACAAATTACAAGGTTTCATCTAAGGCCCCCCCTCCCCCCATTGGACAGTCGGACTAAAAAGAATATAGAAATAGGCCCACACCAAGCCAACATGTCTTTCACAGTCTGGAGTGTCATTTCTGGCCATCCAGAGGTTCCTATTCTTAAAAAAATCTCATTTGGGAGAGGAAACACCCTCTCAAACCCTTTCCCCAACCCAGGCCTACTAGCCCCTTGTCGAACAGCTCAGCCCCCCCTCCAGAAAATATAAATATATCCCAGTACCGCTACTGGCCAGAGACACTTTAAGTCATATTGATAACGGGATGAAACTCTTTCAAAATATTCACTACCAGTAATTTAAGGAACTAAAATCTGATGAAATATCTTATAAGTTTGAGTTAAGTTTAACTTGTGTATATATATATATAATAATATCTAAATTACATTTATTTAAAAGTACAGTATAAACAAAATTGAGTAAATAAATCATCAAAATTAGAAATGTGAAAATATATGTTATTATATAGTTAATAAAAATTTTATAAAAATAGATAAATGCTTTAACACAGGTTATACAGTAGTACTTTACTCTAACAACAAACTGACAAAACTAGATACTGTCAGATTATTAAACAGACACAATACACAAACATTACATATTAACATAGTAATAATGTAAAACAACAATTGGTGTTATATATTTGATTATGAGTTCAAAGCTAAAAGTCTGTGGTCTGATGCATTGGTTCTAGATGGTTGGGCATAGGAATTTAAATGTGATGGCGGGCCAGCCGGCCACTTTGTCGAAACCCCGTTTGCCAACCAGTTCACCAAAAACACATGAGAACTCAGTTTGACATAACCTGGTTTGCCGAAACCCTGTTTGTCAAATTAATTCTTTTTTAAACGTCGTAGGCTACATAAAAGCACAGCACACTAAGCTTTCGAAAAATCATGGGTGGGTTAGGGAGAAGCCTTATTTATACGTAACATTATTTTAATTACCAATTAATCCAATTATAATGTGTCTATGATTTAAGTTTCCATTGTTAAACAATTTTCGTTTTCAGTGGAATTCGATTTTCAGTCGATGCATGGTTTGGGGGATGTGAAGGTGAAAAGGGAGCGATCAATGATGTGAAGGATGCTGCTGGCAAAAAGTGATCTTTAACTACTGGGAGCAATTTTTTTTTTTTTTCCAAACAACTTTTTGGAGGCATGCATCAACCAATAAAGGTGAATACGTACTTACAGACCTGTCAGGTCTCATTCACAACTGCCGTTTCATTACTTGAGTCTACCAGAGAAATGTGCGATGGCGTAGGAAGGTAGGAAGAAAATGGTCACGGAACCCCCAAAATGACTTTACTTATTGCGCTGCTAGACGGAAGTAGGGCCTAATGAAACGCCAGTAGAGGTCTCGAAATGTTCTGTAAGTACATCTTCAACTTTACTGGTTAATCGAAAAAACAACTTCACAACCTATATATACAGATACTTTCATGAAGATTTCAAGAATCCCTTTTACTGTCAAGAAACAAACAAGTGGACAATAAAATTCGTTTTACCTCTGGCTAAAAATACACTAAAAAACGCCATAATAATTATACCCAAAATATGGGCATCACATGTATTTGTCGCATAAAACCGGATAGCGTGAGATGGAGCTTAATGGTACACAGACACTGTAAAATCTTTCAGAAACATAGGCCCTATTGTGCCACTAATTCAGAAACAACAATAATACTACAATTTTTTAAAAATTTACTTAAAGGCAACAGCACCTCTATCCTAGTGGGTGCTGTCGATAAAATTCTCACAATAAATACATTTACATATTGCAAATATCTAACTAACATTTTTTAAAGACCATGAAGTTATAAAAAAAAATACTTTTATTTAAAAAAAATTAATGTTTTTAAATTATTTTTGGATATATCTTGAACAAAGAGGTTATTCCATTCTTTTTTACTAGTGTACAAACTACAAGGTTTTATCTAAGGCCCCCCTCCCCCCATTGGACAGTTGGACTAAAAAGAATATAGAAATAGGCCCACACCAAGCCAACACGTCTTTCACAGTCTGGAGTGTCATTTCTGGCCATCCAGAGGTTCCTATTCTTAAAAAAATCTCATTTGGGAGAGGAAACACCCTCTCAAACCCTTTCCCCAACCCAGGCCTACTAGCCCCTTGTCGAACAGCTCAGCCCCCCCTCCAGAAAATATAAATATATCCCAGTACCGCTACTGGCCAGAGACACTTTAAGTCATATTGATAACTGGATGAAACTCTTTCAAAATATTCACTACCAGTAATGTAAGGAACTAAAATCTGATGAAATATCTTATAAGTTTGAGTTAAGTTTAACTTGTGTATATGTATATAATAATATCTAAATTACATTTATTTAAAAGTACAGTATAAACAAAATTGAGTAAATAAATCATCAAAACTAGAAATGTAAAAATATATATGTTATTATATAGTTAATAAAAATTTTATAAAAATAGATAAATGCTTTAACACAGGTTATACAGTAGTACTTTACTCTAACAACAAACTGACAAAACTAGATACTGTCAGATTATTAAACAGACACAATACACAAACATTACATATTAACATAGTAATAATGTAAAACAACAATTGGTGTTATATATTTGATTATGAGTTCAAAGCTAAAAGTCTGTGGTCTGATGCATTGGTTCTAGATGGTTGGGCATAGGAATTTAAATGCAAGGATTAGAGAAATGTGTTGATGTTGGCCAACTCAAAAACTGTCATAAAATGCTAAGAACAGTCTTAGTTTGTCTAAAAAATATTAAGCAGTATATTTTTCATAATATTAAGCATGTTTAATATTCTACAACATGACTGTCTCGAAAACAGCTTTATGACGCCTTACTATTCCACACAAAATTTGATTTCATATTAAATTTAGATGTTAAAAGTGATAATCTTAGAGATGTATCTATGTATCTGTATTGTTTTTTTAATTGTTTTATTTCAAGCTTACAGTTTCCTTTTCTGAAGGATTAGTGCTCAATTGCAATAATTACAATTGAGCACTGTTGCGTTCTATCTAAATAATTAGTTAATTGGGTGCATCTTGGTTTTTAAATGCTGCTTTTTTTCTTTTCCTTTTTAATATGTATTAATTTTGATAACTTTCATGTTTTTTAATTGTGCAATTTGGACCCCATTGGAAATGGGCTGGATTCCCAGCCTAATGGGTGTTCCAGATGCTCGTTGTGTTTGATAATTGTAAAAAAAAATTCCTATATTGTATTTCTATATTTTATATTTTATATATGAGCATCAAATAAATTCAATTCAATTCAATTAAAAAAGTTTAACTTTACATGTTATTTGTTTTTGTAAATTTGTCACCACTGTGAAACATTCAGGAAAATGCAAACATCTATGCTAAAAATTAGTATTGTTCTCCTTCTAAATCCTTTATGATAAACAAAATGATAAAATTATTATTGAAAGAATGAAACACTTCACTTATTCGAGTTTACTGTATACTTTGCTTTTTTAACTTTACTTTAAACTTTGCTATTTTTTAATTTACTTTACACTTTACGCTATTTTAAGCCTGTTCATATTGATTCAGATTCCTGTGAGCTCCAGGCATTTCTTGATGAGTCATTGGTTCTGTGTTAACTATGTCCAAGACACTTTTTAGTTTACTCAAACAGTGTGAACTCTCATATGAGTCATCCACCTCTAGAACAGTGGTAACCTTAAAGATAAAAAAATATGAATATGCTGTACTTTAGTTTATTTATTTATTATTTATTTCAACAATATTTTATGAGGGTTTGTGATGTGAGAGTCTCTATGCATTTTTATGCATTGACTACACAGTAAAAAAAAAATATATGTATATATAAACCTATAAACATTAACATTTATTAGCATTCCACAATTTTGCAGCTTGTAATCTGCACACAGACATTAAAGCACAGAAGTTACCCACTTCAATTATACTGTAGTGCAGCTGTAGGTTGGTGGTGAAGTCGCATGCCTCCCAATACCTGTGGGGTTCAGGTGACAGGGTCCTGACTAATAATTTATACAGAATGTTGTTCTATATAAATTTATTTTCACATGCAGAAATTCGAATAAAAATGAATTTATTTATCTATTTCTTATTATTTGTGTAAGCAGGCTGGCGCAATGGCTGTGAGTCTCATCTTTAAGGTCTTGGGTTGGAAGCTCTCGCTGTGCAGGGCAACCCACGTTATCCACATGGTTTACCTCCAAAATGAGTTGGGTAATCACATGGAAAAGAGCTTTAAGTAAGCACTATATAAAAACATACACATTATTTTTATTACTTAAAATGAACTATTTTTTGAAAAAGCAAATATGTGGTGCGGTCAAGCCAAATCAGTTGCTTGTCGGCGATCGTCAACTGGAGAAAATCAAATCTAAAGCTTTTATACGTTGAAAATTTTTAAAAAATGGAAATTTATTTTTTGACTTAAAATTAACAACAAGGCATCTAAGATCCATGCTACATTAATATTTTTCCAATTCAACATATACAGTTAAAACTAAGTCAACTTTTCCTAACTCTAATACTTTTTAAGTCGATCTTATTTTACATGCCAAATTGTTGAGTTAATTAACGATCTGTAAGTCAAATTTTATCTAAGTCGAACAGATTTTCAATGCCATTTTGGATTCGACTTGGGCAAGTTGAACTGTATCTGAGTAGACATTTACCGTTTCTCTATGCTCTTGTGCATAAGTGAATATGTGCTTCAGAGTGCTTGATCTACTAAACACGCCCTCAAAATCCTGAAAAATAAAATTTCACAAACAATTTTCAAAAATTTTGTTTCAAAAATAAAAATACATATAATGTAATAATAGATCAGTGTTGAAAGGTCTTTTTCAATTATAGCTTGAACATTTTACTAACATTTTTTTTTCATATATTTCTTCATGAATATACCAACATAACATAATAAACATTAAGGTTTGTTTTTTCTAATCACCTTTATCATTCATTAACAGGCCTATAATAAACATTAACTTTTATGCAAAATTGAATTGAGTAAAATGAAACAACGTACCCTAGGGGTGTCAAACTAATGAGCATGCAGGGGTACACCACATGACAGGAATGACACAAACAAAAACCATCAAGAAAGAATGAAAGATACATTTCTTCTCTTCTAAAATTAGCAACATATTTAATGGAAGCCAGCCATAAACTTTAAACTTAGCCATTGATAGTAAAGAGTTTCAAACAAAACATTATTAATTAAAATGATGATAAAAAAATATTTAAAAAATTAATAACAGAATATTTTTTTAAATGATATGAATTGACTTTATTATTTTTTAAAAATTTAATTTTTATTTATTCTTTTTAAATTTATTTATTTTTTCATAGTAATTTTTGATGTATTATAAATGTCTACCATGGTGTATCATAAATTTTACATATTATGCATTTATTATATTTTATGTCAAGAGGTTCCCACATTTGTATTAGGCCTTCAGCCCATGGTTTCCTCTTGGACAGTTTTATTAAATAAATAAATAATTAATAAATAATAAATAATATTTTAACAACAATTTTTTTCCTTTCCAAAACAAACATTTTACAGAAGTGTAATGTAACTAATGAAGTATTGTAATGACATCCTAATAATTATATGGAAATTATAAAATTAAATTCCACAAAATACTTACACGACAGGAATTTTGAATTTCTTGAACAAAGTTTGATTGGTCAAATTCCATTGTTTGCACTTTCTCATAAAATTGGTCAACAAGACTGCGATATTGCGGTATTTCCTTGGTGTAGAGTAGACGGTTGATAGGAGATTCCTTGTGGAAAAAATAGATATTAAATTAAATGTCATAATATTATAAGAAATTTTCTAGAACTAGAATTCAAGAAAGCAGTAGTTAATCTGAAATATACAATCAGTAATAAGACAGCCAGCACATTCAAGGCAAATACAAAAATACAATTTATTGAGCACAAGATTTTTGAACAGTAAACATACTGAAGGTATCTCTAGTCACATTGAGCTGCATTCTACATGAGAAGAAATGCAGCCCACTTAAAAATGTAGTGTGATTATTATTGTTTAAATATAGTAAGACCCAAAGGTAGATATAAAAACATTGATAAACGGTTTATTCAAATTCATATATATCATGGTAGCAATGCTGATTTTTTAAAAATAGATACAGTACTTTGGTGAGCTGGATCTTCTTTGGTGAACAGGAATCTAGGAACGTCCTAGAGATAATTTCCAACACGCCCTCAACTGGTCTGCTCTGCCTGATATCAAAGATGAATTCAGGGTGAGTGATCACCAGTACCCAGAAGCGAGCAGGTAGGCTAAAAATTAGGAATTAAAAAACAAAAAGAAATTACAATAATTATTTATATGCGGTTTGGCGCAGCGGAAACGGTTTGGTTTCCCAACCTCTGGTTTTAACCCCCAGATGCGCATTTACTTGCATCCTTGAGCAAGGCACTTTAACTGCATTGCTTCTCTGTACCAAGGAGTATAAATGGGTACATGGTGGGGTTGCCTGCTCCTGCACTGATTACCAGCAGCAACACTTAACATGTGGACCAAATGACCCTGAAAAGAACTGCGCTTTAGAACCTCAAGAAAGAGGCACATTATAAATACCAGTACACTTTTAACAATTCTTTTTAACTTGGTCTTAAAAGAGTTTAAGGTAACACATTGTATGATGGAGATTGGTAAGGTGTTCCACAAATTTGGAGCTGCCAAAGCAAAAGCTCTTCCGCACATCCTAACTTTATATGGTCATATGAGGATTACCTGTTGTTTTTCCATGCATTCAATGTTAGCCCGTCAACTTCATGATTCTTTGCTTCCTCATCAAAGAAATCAAAGAGATACTTGATGGAGGGAGGGATCGGAGGCTGGGAGTCGGAAGCCCAAAACACAGTCTCAAACATTCCATTCACATACTCCTGAATCGCCTCCTATTAAACCACAAAAATTAAATTAAAAAGAAAATCATAACATATTTTTATTCATAACAATTTTTGAAAACCTCTATCATTTATTTAATATATTATTTTTCAATATGATATGAGAAAGAATCAGAGAAAGAAGCCTGAATAAACCAGATTAAAACTATGTTTAGATTATCAAATATTCTTTGACAAGAAACTGTTGTATGCCCATATATAGTCATGATGTGCCTATATATGGTCATGATGTGATGTTATCATGACCATATTTAGGCATGTCACATGTTTTTGTCAAATAAAATTTGATAGTCTATATACAGGACTTCAGATTTCAATAATCTGCACATCTATAAAATATCTATAAAACTATTCCAATTAAGAATTTGCCATACTGATTATAACTATATAAAAATTATACAGTTATTCTAAGGTATTAAAAATATATAATGTTGTATATTGCATCATAAATTAAAGAGATGATATACTGTAGGAACTTATTTCATAACACATTAAGCGATTATAAAATAAATAGTAAATGTCTGTAAATTAGAGAAAACCATATGTGTCTATTAGAAGTGAATAACATGTCATATTTTTTAGGGTTTTAAGATTTTTTTTTCAAGATATTAATACAGACAGAAAGAGGGAATACTTTTAATCAATTTACTAAATTATCTCTTAAATATAAAAGTAATGTAAAGAATTGCCTTGGTTGCCACCGCTCGAGGAAACTTAATTTCTTTGAAATTTCTTTTAGCAAATCTTTGTGACTTCCTCTTTTTTGAATCATCACAGTTGGTTTTGTCCAGGTCCTTTTCCTGCACATAAAAAACAATGATTAAAATAGTTTATCTTTTAAGTTCCTATTAAGTAATTAATGTTTGTTTAATTGCTTGCTTGTGTCTCTCAAGCAGACTGCAAGTGCAGCATATTTAACTGAGTACAATAATAATAATAATAACATGATTTATACAGCCCTTTTCCAAATTGATCAAAGTGCTTTACAAGGACAACATCAGAAATACAGTAGATTTTACAATATTATAGTAATTTACAATATTAGGAATATATTAGAAAATTAAAATAAAATACAATTAGAATATACAAAGACTTAGTAAATACTTATGTACAAGAAGTTACAAATTGTAATTAAAAAAACTTTGAAGGGTTTTAAACTCCCCATATCAAAAGTAGATATTACAAATGTTTTCTTCAATTTGAGATCATTATATTATTTATCAATTTTATTAATTTAACTTCACTGGATTAAGAAACAACAGAAAGGCAAGTACAGAACTGGTGAACAACCACCTCTACAAGGCTGTCTTATCACCAGAGATAGATCACATTAACAAATATATAAAATTCATCTGTCCAATTTGCTAATGACAATAAAATCTTTAAATAGAGAATTTTCACCATTTAGCAACAACCAGGGCAGTGACAAAACGAAAACAATGTACAAGTGTTTATTATAAGGAAGAAAATTTGATTTCAATATAGTATTATAAAATTAAAGCATTTGTTTTTGAAAGATAAAAAATGAAGAATCTGATCGACATGCTAAAGTATTAGGATCCCAGTTGTCATTTATTGATAACTGATTCATAAATAAAATAATTGTTTTTGGTTCATTATATTGTTTTACAAATTAAATTTAATTATAGAAGAAGACACAAACTGTAATAAAAAAAAACACAGGGGATAGTGTTATTGTTTACCAGGTGATAATGACAAAATCCTGATTCCTCACTTCCTGCAGTGGCTGAAAGGATTGCTTGATCATCTGGGACCATTGCAGCATTTTCAAATGCTGTTGAAGACAAAACACAAAGGGTATTAAACTAAAAAGTGGTGTTTGAGTATTCATTGCAATTTGTATTTGGTGTTGTTGGAAGCAGTAGTATGGTAGTTAGTGGTTTTGGTGTGGGTAGTGATAGCAGTACATAGTAGTAATGGTGGTGATATTGGTAGCAGTAGTAGCAATGGTGGTGGTGTTGGTAGCAGTAGTATGGTAGTTAGTGGTTTTGGTGTGGGTAGTGGTAGCAGTAGTAGTAATGGTGGTGGTAGTAGTGGTAGCAGTAGAGTAATGGGGGTGGTGTTGGTAGCAGTAGTACGGTAGTTAGTGGTTTTGGTGTGGGTGGTGGTAGCAGTAGTAGTAATGGTAGTTAAAGTTGGTGGTGATAGTGGTAGCAGAATAATGGTAATGGTAGTTGTTTTTGGTGTTGGTGATGGTAGCAGTAGTAATGGTATTTTATGGGTGGTGGTGGTAGTGATGGTGGTGTTGGTGGTAGTAGTAGTAATGGTAGTTACTAGTGGTCATGATGGCAGTAGTAGTGGCAGTTGGTGCTTGTCTTGTTTTTTTGAATGTTATTATCAATTTGGATAATTAATAAACTCATAGGCATAATAAAAAAAACTAAAACAAAGAGGCTAACCAAAGTGAGAAGCGCCTGCTGTTAATACTGGACTGACAAGATCTTTATCAAAGTTAGCATTGGCAACGGCTTGCTTCTTCACAAGAGATACCGTACACCCATCAGTCACCTACGTAGAAATGAGAATCTTCAATAAATTTCAGGTATAAATTTAAGACTTCAACTATAGATTATAAAAGTCTAGGAGAATAACCCGTAATTTGAGGCTTAATTATGCTGAATTGCATATGGGCATGGTCCGAGATTACCTAGTCACCATAAAGAAACGCTTATAAGTACAGTACAGTAGCTACACGTTCACATCATTCCACAATGACAGCGGTAAAACCACCTTTTCACATGGACAACAACCTATAGTTGGGTTTTGGGTGTGTGAAAGCAATGTATTTCTAACCTGCAAACCTCCAATGGTGTTGAGTTTAAGCATTCGACCTGATGTTTGAGATGTTACATCAACATCGGATAGGGTTAAATGACCACCTCGTCCATGTTGCCAGTCTAAAGAAATTATTCAATGTTTGTGTCATTGAAAAAATTACAAGAACGAAAACTATTGCATATACAATGAAGACACATCAGATTCAAGACATCTTAATTATTATCATGTCTGTTGTTGATGTTTGCCCTATCTAACATATTATTGTATTAAATACACAGTACCCAAACACTTTAGAAAAAAAGTGATTAAGGTGTGAATCGAACACAACAATAAACTCTCAGGTACAGTAGCTTATCTAAGGGTTCCTCCCACCCCAAATTCACGGTCAAATAGTCAAAAATCACCCCACTTCACTTTTCCCCCCATCAGCCGCCCCATTCCAAGACTCCATTGGACAGGTAGGGCAAAACATCACTCCTTTGGAATTTCCTGAAGCATGAAAACATTAAAGTGTCTGTTATTGCTATACTGTCTACTGTAAAAATCAGAAGAACCTCAAACTTTCATTTACAACAATAAATTTTAATATTTAAATTGATTTACATGGTAAATCCTACTAGAAAAGGTTCACTTCACCACAGATACGTAAATAATACCACTGAATTGTCCACTGAATTAGCTGGTAATCAATTTAAGGATATATGCAGTAAAAAATCTGAAAATCAGTTAATGAAAGTACATTGCTTAAAATTATAAATTCAACTATTTGAATTTTTGAGGGTTTCTAGAAATTACAAGACAGCATAATGTGCATGAACTTTTGATATACACAAGATACACTGGTCCCTGCTTGACATTCTAATGCTCCTTTTCCAAGTGTCAATCAAACTTGACACCGACCAATCTACCAGTGCCAGAAACAAGCGTGTGTCTAACAAGCTCACATGTTGTTGCACAAACACACATGTTTCGCGTATGTTGTTACACTGTGAATTTTTGGGAGCTTAGCAACAATATCCAAGGGCGGGGCTTAGCGGAAAGGTCCATTGCATATCTAAACACATTCAAATTTTATGTGACAAGTATTATATGTCCATTTTTATTATTAATTTGATTCTATGGACACAGCTTCAAAAATACATTGCAAAAATCATGCTTACTGAGGTCAAGATGCTGAGACTTTGGCCGTGCTGAGTACGGCTGGTTCCTGTACAAGCTGTCGAGGATCTTCTCTTTTACTTGGCTGATGGTGTCGCAGCTAAGAACTTTGACCTTTTGAGATTCGCCACTGTCTGCATTCAGTATTACTTCCAGGGTCTTTGTTGATGAAAATAAAATAATGAAAACAAATAACAACATATTGATCATAAATCTTAAAAATCTAGGATTGCTTTTAATATTGGTAAAAACATTTTTTTTTTAATAAGCATTCAAAAATACTTACATATATTTGGAACCATCACTTTAATCCTTTCAACTTCAAAATAATTTCATATTTATTCATTATACTCCTTGATTGTAGCCCATTTTTTCATTTACCAGACAAAATACATGGGGTTAGTACTGGCTAGCAGAACCAACGTTTAGGCCCAGTAAAAATATGATATTACATCCCGACAAACCCTGATTAAATAATAACATTTGTCATTTACACTTCCAAGTGCAATATAAAAATTAGATTATTGAAAGAAATTTAAAAAAAAAAGAAAAAAAGAAAAACTAAACAAAGAAACAAAATCCTTCTGTATATACTTATTTACTAATGTTGTTTTTCGAACTTAAGAAATGTTGTTTCTTGAACTTAAGAAAATGGTAAAACAGAAGTTACTATATACACACTGTATGGGATTACTTCCTAATGAATATTCATTATGGTTTACATACCAAAACCTCTGCAGTTATGTCTGTAAGTAGACTCTTATCAAGATCTAGGGAGAATGTTGCATTTTGGGATACTGCATCTACAGCCCCCATCTCAATCCGAAGCTTTATGGCCTGGTATAGAACATACAGTGAGCGAGCTGCATGGTCCTACAGAAAGTTAACAGAAATAATTTAAAGAAAAATTAGAAAAAAAAAAACCCACATCTTCCTTATTAACATAATATTAACAGCACAGTGGTACCATTGGTAGTATTCATCTCTGGTCAAGTGATTGGTACTGTACTGTACTACCACTGAGCACCAATGATGTACCAAAATGGAAGAGAGTTTAGTGATTGAACACAAATTAAATATAAACTTAAACAAATTAATTGGAAAACACATATGGACTGTAGAATAAAAACAATAACATACTGAAAACAACAAGAAAATTAGACCATACCTTAAGGTATTTGTACATTGATAGAGTGATCCAATTTGACAATAGCTTTGCAGTCACAGAGTCAGTTCTGCAATTTAAAAAATCAAGTTTAAGCACTACAACAAGTGTCTCAAATGGTTAAGTTAACACAATGGATCCGATTGACCGCATTTTGGGTCACTGATAGCAACATGTATCATGTGGTATCGTGACATACCAACGTAGTACTCTATACATACCTAACCTAACCTCTCTTTGCGTTTTAGATGGTATAAAATGCATTGTGCAGCATTTATTTGGAGAAGGTTAAGCCATTAATCAAGTGTGCAATAGGCCCATGGAACATGCTACCGAGCCGAAGTGATGCAATACACTCGTTGGCAAAGATCAGGGTATTGTCTGTCATTATGCTGCCCAATGTGTTTCAAAACTTAAATCCGATAAACAACAACAAAAACTCACCTTATTAGCACCTGCTTAGCTTTGTTTGATGCCACACGATCCTCAATATGGTCTCTTAAAAGCTCTTTCAGCACCCTAAAAAAAAAACATATCAATCCAAAATATATTGGTCAATCTAGTGAAATTTATTATTGATAACCTCTTAAATATAAAACAATAATCTTTGATATTTTTGTTTTTGACAATGAGAAAAATCATATTGTCCAATACATCTGATTAACTTTTAGTCCAATTTTTTACTCACTCAGTGAAGTAATCCATTTTGCCTTCATTTACCATTCCCACAGTCAACAGGGAAGCAAACGTACACCTAGAATGGAAAGAAATGGTAACAATTAGCAACACTTTAATTTTCGTTTTTTTTCAAATTTTTATTCAATCTATACAATCAGTAGCAGCCGAATCTAAATTGCAGCATTGTATTTTAAAGTTTTTTTACCAATTATAATACAATTAAAAATATTGTACATAAAAATAAGACCATTACTTGATAACAATTACTAGAAGCCATACAAAATTCACCATACAAAATCATAAACCCAAAACACCATAATTATTATTATTATTATTATTATTATTATTATTATTATTATTATTATCATTACTCAATTCAATCGTAATCACTAGAAGAAATTACGTTTCTAACATTAAATCGTCGAAATCGACATTTACGACCAAGGAGGGGATTATTATTATTATTATTATTATTAATATTACTATTATTATTATTATTGTTTAAAAAACAGATAGAAAAACACACAAAAAAACAAAAAAGCAAAACAGGAAAAATTGGAAACAGTAACAGCAAAAATGGAAGGTAAGTTAAATAGCAAAAAAAAAATCAAGATTCTAAGAGCCTGGTCTAAGCTGGAATTGCACTGTTGTTTTATCATTCTGTATTAGTGCGTGCCTTTTCAAGTTTACGATTATTTCTAAGATGCATGGTGTGAGTGGACAAATTTGGTACAAACCATTTTACTAGACCTCTCAGATTTAACAGCAAATTGCTTGCAGATTACTAATCTTCTATCACTTAAAGTCGGGTAAGATTACACTGGTAGCCTGTGTAAAGACTATGACGATAAGGGATCCTTTTTAATACATGATTACCTAAAGTAATAACAGGGGGTACAGGAGGGAGCACTTTAAAACAAAACTGCATAGTGTTACACTTTTTAGGGTTGAGGTTGAGTTTGTTTTACTTTAATCCACAAGGTCATTAAAAAAGCTCTGCATATTAGATGTTTTTGTACATTTACGCATTTCTACAAGACTAAGGTCATCCACATATTTGAAATGATCAACCTCTGTGTTTATACATGCATCATTAATAGTAGCTAAACAAATTATGGGGCCTAATTTTGTGCCTTAGGGCACTCACATTGAACATGTTCCCATTCGGAAAATTCATCATTATATTTAACTCTCTGTCTACGGTCACATAAGAAATCACAAACAAACAAAACAATAAACAAAACAATAAACAATCACACACAACATTGTTCACAATAAATTACTAGTATGCTCACTCAAAATAATCACCTTTAACCTCAGCAGTAGAACAATAACCAAGATGGATACCACATATTAATGTTCCAATTTTTTTTTATCTTGGTTATAAGGCCTGATGTTACCATCATTAGAGATTATAAGTGGCCACAATATTTATGTTATTTAAATAAACTATGAAATACTTGTTGCATCTATGGCTGAAACATGTCATGAAAATTCAGATGGCCAAATAATCAAGCTTAAACGAAAGACGAGCAATCATGCAATTTCTCCCATGCAACCTTATTCGAACGGGAAGAAATACAATCACATGATTCTAGGAAGGGGATTTGTGGGAACACAAGTCAAGGACACATTTTGACAACACATGCAGAAGCCCTTGAAATGGCAACCAAACAAAACTAATGCTGGGCTCCACCACACACATACAACACCAAACACAGCATTGTTACTTTTTACAACAATATACCTTCTTTATACATACTTGTATTTCATTCATCATTTAGTGCAGGTGGGTAGATTCTTTATTTTTGAATATAAATTTTTGTACTAACAGAAAAATGGCATATGTCTTGTCTGTGGTTTTTGTGTTTACCAAATGGGATAGTAGAGAAGGTTGCACATCCAATGACCAAGGAACTTTAAGCAAGCAACATGCATGCTTAAATATTACACCAATGATGTTACAACATCACATGACACCCCTTGCTATACCATGTGCTTGATATGGTTGAGTGAATTCTACATTATATATAGCTTTCACAACTGACGGATCTTTCTAACCTAATTTTACAATATTGTATCTGTGTTCATTAAAAAGATAACTGAACTTTTCTTAATTTCATGTTTTCAATAGGAATTTATTAGGTTTCAAAACATTAGTTAGAAAGGTTTGAAGACTGTGGTTAGCTGTAGAGGTACGAAGACATAATGGCTGGTTTCGTAGGTGGTTGCCTAGTAACAAAGCGATGTTACACAATACAGTGACGTAGCAACATATTACTGTACTCTATACAGTCTATATTATGCAAAGGTAAATGTGGGAGAATAACCCATAACTCACAGCGTTGTGCTGAATTGCGTATGGGTGTGGTTCGTGACTTCCTAGCCGCCGTAAAGAGGCACTTATATCAGCTACATGTTCACATCATTCCACGACAACAGGGGCTGAACCATAGCGTTGGGGAAACCCCCTACTGTTCCGAAAGATGCAATGTAAACTGGACCTCCATTTTAAGTCCTTATCTGAGAATATTATTACTTTAAAGAATAAATCTTACCCTAGTTTTATTCTTCTTAGATCATAGAATTATTTACATTTGGAGGCAATCTGATAATTGTTAAATACAACAGAGCCCCAATAGTTTTACATACTGAAAACGACAGCTTTTTGTGGTCTATGCTGATTAGTGAATTAACTGACGTTTACAAACTAGCTTTTTATAACTAAAACAATTTGAAAGTGATTACTCTATGGTTTAACAAAATCCATGAAAATGGAGTTATGAAGCATTGAGTATGTACTTATCTGTGTAAATTGTCCATATGATGATGAGGTAAATGTAAACAATAAAGACTAATAAAACACTAACCGAAAAGCAATGGATTTGTAAATGGGTTATTTGAAATAGAATCACATTTGCATCAACATAACAAGACAGAGACTGAAGTCTATGTACAGTAAACAACATAATGAAATGTTAAGAAGTGACATCAATTTAGTCATCATTTTCAAAAGAGCATAAAAAAGGGGCCTATAGCCTTGGACAGGGTCCCGCATTTAAAATCCCTAGCAGGGTTCCTAAGGAGAGCTTTTATGGCCTACTTCTAATTTGGCCCAAAATTACGCTTTTAGACCACAATATAGGGATTGGCAATCAATTTTACATTATTTGGATAGATAAATTTATATTTTTGGTCCAATAACCTCTCTAGAGTCGGAAGGTTAGGCCTTTCTGGGATAGTTCCAAAAGAGTACATAATAAAATTATCATTTTGGGATTATCATTCTTTCTGGGATACTTCCAAAAGAGTACATAATAATATTATCGTTTTGGGGTTATCATTTTTAAATGAGTACATACAGTATACTATTACAGAACCCTTACACTAGAATACGCTCTTGTGAAAATGATGGAAAAATGGATGACAAATAAACAACAACATACAATTAATGAATTAAATAAAATTCAAAATTGAATCCAAGAACATTAAATTTGAAAATTAATAAACATCTATCTATGTCAAGTCTCATTTGTTACAAAAATGGGGAAAAACATTCATTAAGAACATGCAATAAAGAAAAAACCTATTATTTAGAGAAATAAAACAGAATTAAAATAAAATCATTTTAAAAAAAAGAAAATTGGTTGATCAAAATGTAAAGTGCATGAAGTGAAATAAACACCCAAAAAATTACCATTACGAGAAATCTTTGAATGAGGAAGACTGTGGAAAAAAATTATGAATATAATATTATAATATTCTTATAAGAATATTATAATATTATAATAATATAATATTATATTATTATAATATTATAATAATATTATATTATAATAATATATTATATTATTATAATATTATAATATTATAATAATATAATAATATAAGAGTTTCAGATATATGTATGTGTTAATATGCAGGGGGTTAACTTTTAAAGCCAGGCTGAGGAGGGAAAATATTGTATATTTTATATAAAAAATCCCCTCTAGAAAAACCAAAAAAAAATCATCTTTCTAGTGCCCTTTTAAGCCAAGGTTGGCATGGTTAACTATCTTGTCAGTATTTGGTCGCCAAATAAATAACAAGATTTTCCTGATACAAAATATATCTTTCCTTCAAGGATTTATTCAAAATTTACATTGTAGCCAGTGTTTAAATTGCATAAAATTTACGAAAAACATAAAGATATATTGCACATTAAAATGGTAAAGGGATAATAACAAATAGACAATTAATACTAATGAATTACAATAAAAATTAAGCTTAGACACAATAAATATTATCATACTTTATATACTTCAGTCATCATTTAATAAAGTTAGTAAAAATAAGTTTAATAGAAACTATATTACTATATTTTTATTTGTAAACCACTTCCTAAATATTGTTGATACAGATACAGAATAACATCCAAGTCAAAATTTTTGAAAAAAGTACTTACTTTTCTTTAACAGTACTTTTTGAGTTTTCCACTATCTTGATGAATGTCAATAGAAAATGCTTGATGAGGAGGAGCTCGGAAAAGCTGTTCAGAGCTCTGGATTGCATCCCATCATCCTCCTGAAAGTTCAAAGGTCAGATATGTCAAGGTTACAAATACAAAATAGTTTACTTTTTGAAAAAATGATAAAATTAATTCTAATTGAAAATAGTCACTTTATTTAAGACTTCAGTGTCCATCAATTAATCATCAACAATCATGGCAGAATGCGATGTTTAGTGGCACTATGACAATAGTATTTACTCAACAAGTCAATGTGCACTTTCAATTCATAAACATCAATGATCAGATGTGAATTTTAGCAGTATTTTAATTAAAAGGCTAAAGCAGAGTCTCATATGACCAAAAAAAAAAAAAAAATCCATCTCCACAATCTTTGAGCACTCAACAACACGATGTCATTTGCAGAGTGTTGATAGCAGGCTGAGCGAATTGTCATTATAGACCATTTTCATGAATTTGAAATGAAAATTTACGATAACCTGGCAACTGCCACTGGGGGACTTTCAGAGGCCTAACATTTTGCTCTACGTAGCTACCATCATGGATTTAATGAATGAAAAAACTAAATTACTAACGAGCACAAATATTTTAAAACAGAAAAAACACAAAATATTTATATAAAAAACAAGTTTAAGTCTTAAAAATCTATTTCAATGATTACATATACAGTAATTACAATAATTAGCAAGATCGTATCTGTTGTCTACTGCTGGTATAGAGAAGGTCTAGCGGCGCTCTCCGCTGCATGGTGCTACATTTGTAACTAGCCAGCTGCTCAGGCTAGGCCCCTATAAGTCCCTCAGTGAGTTGTGAGACCTGGTCCTTGTTCCGTTACGTATCCACAGAATAGAGTTACTCGCCACTGGCATAGCGTCTACCCCACTTGAGAAATATATGTTATTGATCGGTCATGTATTATTATTGCGCCTTCCACAATAAAAACTGTCTTAAGATGTTTTTAAGACACTCAGAAAAAAAAAATGCTCTCCAAACAAAAAAAAAACATTTTTCACCTGTTCCTTAAATTACTTGAGCACTGATAAATGAAACAAACAGGTTTGTATTAAAAGTTAAGAACTTTTACTGGAATTGAGGGCAGCAAACAGCTTACCTGCACATCCACTTCACTTGAATCTGGGATAATTTCAAAGCCAGTGAACATCATGTTATACATGTACTGTCTGTTACTTACAAACGGAATCACAATGCTGCGCAGGTCATCACCACTTAGGTCTTGTAAATTGATGGTCAAATCAGCAATTGCTGTTGAGAACCATACAAAAAATAATTTAAAAAAATCATTATTGCATATTTATTTCAGTTAAGGAACAGGTAAAACTTGAAGCTGAAGCTCTGGGCTTACAGGCAGTAGTGTCCACCTGTCTTTCCTTGGCATTTGGGCCAGACTGCATAAGGTCGCCACTCGCCCCACAAAGTAACCTGTTTTACCATTCCAGCACATGCTGGTACCCATTTATACTCCAATGAACAGAGACACGTAGATAATGTGTTTTGCCTAAGGACACAAGCAACATGCCAGCGACGGTTTTGAACCCTTGACCACAAGGTTAAGAGTCTGAGTCACAACCATTAATCCAACCGCTTCTAACCTGAATGTCAATAACATCAGATTTATTATAGAAGATAAGCAAAAAGATCATAAAACTAATAATATTAGGGTGGGCTATTTTTCACAAAAAATATATTCCCCCCGCCCCAACCAAAAGGCACCTTTTAAGTTTTAATTAATTAATCTGATAACTTAACCATGAATAGCAAGATAGACATTTGAAGGGTGGGTAGGTGATAACATTATAAAATCTAACTAATAAAAATAACTTTAGACTTGTTGGAAAACTTCAAGGCTGGTTGGCCCCGCCAACCATAACTACATTATCCCTAATCCCTATCACATCCCTAATCTATATTGTTTGAAAAATCAATGTTTTTCCATTTATTTTCGTTCAAGCTAAGATAAAATTCTAGTTTCTTTAAAAAACAATTTTTTTTAAAAACTAGAACTTTTTAAAGAAACTAGTTTCTTTAAAAAATAATTTTAAAATATATTCATAGTACCGGCTTGAGCTTCTTCTTTTACTTGGTCCTGAATGTGTTCCATTTCAAAAGAAATTTTCTGCGTTTGTTCATCAAAATGTTTAATTCTTCTTCTAAAGTAAACCCAAATAATTATAAATAAAATTAATCCGACACCGACAGCACCGGAAATTGGTATCACCAAATTGAGCAGATCAAAGGAAGGATATTGAATTGGTCCAAATGTCACCTCAAGGTTGCCATGATAAATCTGAAAGAGTCATTATTTTTAATTCTAAAAAGGTAATAAATATTTTAAAGTTTCATATTGCATTTAAGAGCAATAGACAAACTACTTCTCACACATTTTTCATTTCAATAGCTTGTTCATTGTGATGTGAATCTGAAGCACTACTATATGTTTATACATTACAGCTTGCAACTTACCACGACAAGAGGATGATCTCCACCATTTACTGCATCAGGTTCCTCTTTTGGTGCCTCTGCAACAACTGACGTGTTAGCTATTGAGAGTACATTGCATGGAGTCTCACCAACATACACCTTTACATCACTGACCTCAGTGGCACTAAGATCTATGCCTGATCCCTATGGGAAAACATGTTACATGTTAAAAAGATTCAAGGAAATGGCAAATTCCATAAAAGATTTCCAGCTGATTTTCTTTAACTGTGGAAAAGTTAATAAGCCAATTTGTAGTTAGAACTACGCATGCCTGTATTCCAAGGTCTACCTACATAATCCTATGTCTGTTTATGTACTGGTACTGGTATAGGCATTTATAATGCGCCTCTTCCTTGCGGTTATAAAGCGCAGTTCTTTTCCCTGGTCATTGGGTCCACATGCTAAGTGTTTCTGCTGGTAATCAGTGCAGGAGCGTGGATTTTCTTAACGTAGGATATTTTGGTAAAATCTCATTAATTGTTCATAATCATCCTTATAGAAAAGATTTTCACATGCGCTATTTTCAAGCCTATGTTAGCCTCAATGATCAGTTGCTCTGTGCTTCGACTTAAAAAAATAGAAATAAATGAAATTTGATTTTGGGTGAACTGAGCGGATACAATTGATATAAATGCAGCTGGCAAATTTAGGGGGAGGGGTGCAGAGAGTTTGATCGCACCCCCTAAATTGCATTAGGAAAATATTTGTTGTATTGTTGATATGAATTACCAGTAAAATTTTTTAATTTCCGGGCACCTAGAGTTTCATATTCTCAAAATGTTTGCAACTAACCCCAACCATGGTGGAGCTGAGGTGGTATGGACTCCCTTCCGCCAAACCCTGCATCCGCTCCAGTGCGGCTCTTTTAGTTTATATTTATAGTCAAAATTAGATGGGCATTCAACAAAGGGTCCAGTGAGCAAAATGGTCTTTAATGAGTACTTTATATGCAAGTATTATACGCAAGATTAGAGCCTTCATTCAGTCTGTTACCGGTATATCAACATCCAGTCTGTTTTATTTTATAGTGAACAAATATTTCAAAGTAAACATAAAAGGTGATTTACTTATTTCATGCAACTTGTTTATTTTGTTTTGTACAGTGGTGGCGCCAGCGTTTGAAATCTGGGAGGGGTAGGGAAGTGCGGGAAAAGAAATTATCGGGGTTGGGGGAACAAACGGCCACTGTATTGGCATAATTTATGAAGTCCTAGTTTCGCAGCATCGAGCAAAGTTCCTTAGCTTACATTGGAATTTTAATAAAACTTTAATTGAAGAATAGGTTTATTTAGTATTGTATTTGCAGGCTGACGGTAAACGTAGGCCTATCACTTCAATGTATCAAAGCAATCACCTGTTTTAATTTTTGCATTGATTCAAATACACACTTATGTGCTCTGTGGTCGAGCAAGTCTTCCAGGATAAGGACTATAAACCATAGGCCCAGTGTACACAATTAGCTTTAGTGTGCACTGTAAAGAACCCAGTACATCTTTTGAGACGAATAGGGGGTTACCCCGGTTGTACTGGTCCACCTTACAGTCCCTTACCCTTATCCTGTACAAAAGCACACCGACAGATAGTCTGTACTAGAATGGAAGAAGCCTAAGAAGGCCCATACATCGGTTGAATCGCAAAATGGAGCAGCTGATCATTCAGGCTGACGCAGACTTAAAAATAGCGCATTTTAATTGAATAACTAATAAACAGTATTTTGTATTTCAGACTGACAGTCAATGTAAATTAAACTCCAGAATCTACTATCAATCACTTAATTTATTCTTGCATCGATTCAAATACAAGGCCCATACAAAGACTGAATCCCAGGGCCGTAAAAGTGAATGGTGCATTTCAATGGTTGTTCTACCGAAATCGAGCACAGGTCTTTCGCAACAAAATGAGGCTGACCCCAATCGTGCAAATAGCCAATGCGCAAAATATGTTCTAGAAGGATGATTATGAATAATTCATGAGATTTTACCAAACTATCTTACGTTAAGAAAATTCGCGAGCAGGCAACCCCACCAGATAAAGTGCCTTGTTCAAGGACACAAGCAAAATGATTGAAAGCGAGTGAAAGAAACCCCGACCTTGAGGTTGGGAAACCAAACCATTCCTGCTGTGCCAAACTGCCTCAACAATTGTCAATTGACCTTGAATTAGCTTATTAAATATGAGTTATTGTGTTTATCCACCATTAATCTAAGGCTACTTGTATTATTTGTTCAAACATCGACAAGGAAAAACAACATAGTCTACCCTCAATTGAATTAACGTAATATCACGTTCTAGTATGTAGATTCCACCTTCTACCAGTTGTCCATATACTGTCTTACTACTGAAGGGATAGTAGATAGGATCAGGATAAATTCTAAATTCAGATTCACCACTCGATTCAATAACATAGCCATCAAACGAAAAGGTCACAGGTAATGCAACATGTGCTTGTCGTCTGCTAAGTATTTATCCTATTTTAAGAAGGGACTATAATGGCTGTTTGAAATTAGCGTATATTATTATTATTTCCTTGATTCTCATCTCTATAAAAAAAATTAATGATATAATAAACAAATAACAAGCCATTAGGAATTACTGGAGATTGAGAGACATATTTCTAGGTGCCCTCTTAGGAATAAATTTCCACGAGAACTTAGATTTTCTTACTGCTTTAGCTGATACACCATTCACTAGCATCTTGGCTTCTTGCACATACTGAAAATGCATCCCTGTCACAGTAATCTTACGACCACCACTGAAAGATATCAAACTTAAAATCAGCATCTGCCTGTTTTATTGTAGAAATAGTAATGTAGGCCTACAAAGCATACACAATATACAAATACTATTACTGCTGCCAATAATAACAGTATTTCTAATATAATAATAACAATAATAATAATAACAATAATAATAATAATAATACCTATTATCATTATTATTATTATATGATATAGTCTTACAATGTGGAATGTAATTCAAATAAATATTCTGACAAAAACAGTTCAGTGGAAATGTTATTAGAAAAAAAACAGACATTCTTACGCTTTGATACTGCTTTTCGGATTAAAGTCTGTCACTCTTGGGTTGTCTGTGTACGTGAAGGTAGAAGCATCTCTTGTAGCCTGTCCAAATGTAACCGTTGCCATTACCTCTTCTTCAACTGCATAATGCGAGGTTGTACAAAGTATCTGAGTTTCAGATACACTGCAGTGAGAAAAATAAAATAAATAATTAACCAATATCAGAGAATGGATAATCAGGTGAAAAAGATCCAAAAAAGCAATTTGTTTACTTACTTTTTAACATAACACTCGCTTTCTCCCATAGATACCATAAGATCTCGACCGGTGTTCAAAAACATGCCGGTTATATTCACTCGTGTACCACCATGCTTGATTCCAAACTTTGGAGTGATGTCGGAAATTAAAGGATTCTGGAAAAATAAATTGAATTGAAGAAACTTTTAGCAGTTTATGCTAGATATGAAGTGTATTGTTCCACTATATGGAATAAATATCAAATATAAATATATAATAACCTGATAAACTATGTATGCTGGTCCACTTGGTTTCCCTTGGACAGATATGATGACATTTCTTTGAGAGGCAGTGCTGAAGACAGGAGCTCTACACTTAATACTAGATGTAAAAGCAAAAAATAACAAATGTATAAGTATAAAAACAAAACAACAATACCCAAACCAAGATACAAGCAATATATACTAATAGACAATCATTTAATACAATACAAGTAACAACTGTGTAAGTATTAAGTGAAGAACAATATAGTTCTATCAAATCAAGAGTCATTTGAAAGCCTTACGTTTGTGAAGCTATGTTAAACCCATCTGCAATCTTTTCACATTCCTTGCTATCTATCATAATGCTAGCAATATCTGAAGACGTTTGTCCAAAATCAGTTCCAACAAGTTCAATGACCTCAGTGTAATCAGGCTCAGGCTGGGTTATTACCGTAGCAACTGAAAGAGGTATAACCTAATAAAGGAAAAATACAGTATCATGATTTTCGGCCTCTAAAGAAAATATTTTATTTTTATTTTATAATAGTTCAGGCATACAAAACATTTTAAAACCTTAAATATAAAAACATTTAAAAAAGAGGGAAAAAATAAAAGAAAAGAAGACCAACTGCTATAGACAAATAATATTAGAAATTACATTTTACACAAAAATGAATTAATATTTGAAAATTAGGAATAAAAAAAAACCTGCAACTTTAGAATCAACAGTTGAGGGTGCTGTTTGATTATTCTTACCTGTGTTATTATGGGAGCTGGACAGTCACTAATTTTTGTTGAACAGAATGAATCGTATTCACAGCCATGGTCTCCACACCAGACGCAATTAAGCTGTGGTCTAGTAGTATTGTTAGAAAGACACCGGCTGCAGTCTGGACGCTGCACTGAACATTTGTACAGAGTAACTAGAAACAATCAAGACAAATATGTAAACTTACACTATCTGTGTAGTTTAAGATGTTTCTTTTAATCAATTCCTGCAAACAACTCCCTACCTTTCAAAACAATAATAATACAGCACTCTAGGCCCTGTGAGATAATAATAGCTTCCTACTGAATAAACCCTAAAATAATTGTATATTTGTATGCATACATTCTTAGTAATAGTGTCAGGTTATAATTGATTTTAAAATTATTGTCAAAGGTCAAAGGGTAAAGAAGTCAATATTCTAATAATATATCAGTAGTGAAACAAAGTCTCTTTAAACTTGTCATATGAGGAAGAAGCTCAGCTAGAAGTTGGCAGTGAGTTTCAAATAGTGGAAGTTGATGAGTAAACCACATATATTATATTGACATTTGAAATATGAACATATTAGATTAACGAGACAAACAGAGGAAACTATTAAACATTTCCTTGTTCTTGACCTTTGTTCTATTGGATGTTAGCCTAAAATTACTGTCAATGTTGGTGTATTGTGCACTGTTGCTCCCTTAAAATTTGTCCTATCAACTCCACTTTGTTATTAGCAATTCCTAAAGCTGAAAAACTGTAGCAGTTGATACTATATGTAATTATGTAAGATGATTTTTTTATCGAATGGAACTTTACTATTCTTGTAGCTATAGGCGTAGACCAATTTTCTATGGAAAAACAAAAACCAAAAAATCAGTTTTCAGAAAAGATAAACTATCACCAATCATTTGTATCCACCAATTATTTGTATAGAAAGCTAAATGTTTGGATAGTAATTTTTGACAATGTTTTAAGTTAGGATTGCACTTCATTTTTGAACAAGAATCAATAGGCATCATTAGTTAAAATAAAACAAATTGTAAGGCTTTAAAAGCAAGAAATGTTGTATTAAACATTTGAGGGAGTCAAGAGTAATACTGTACTCTCAAAACTATTACTGACAAAAATTTGTTTAAAAATTCATTTCTACCATATGCTTGCCAGATTTTAATGATCACTTTCCTACATAATTTCACTGTTTAGGTGGTAGTTTTATAACCATTTCATGGTTTTCCACTGTTTAGTTAAAGTTTTTTTTGGTGCTATTGTATTTTGTGTAGTATTTATATATTTATTGTGATTCGTACGTGATATTGTGTAAGCTCAGGAAAACAAACTTCAATAAATTCAATCTTTAATCTTGTAAAATTCAGGGAAAAAGATGTGTAATTGACATGTTCACACAATGTTAACTGTAACTAACTTTGGAATATGTAAAAAAAACAACTATTTTTAGTCATAGAAAGTGCTGTGCAAACATATCTCACTGACTATATTATATGTTATGACTTCCTTTTAACTCTTCCGGGTTCAATGGATGTAACACATGTTAATTTATGTCAATTTTGGTATATTTTTATTATATTAACATTGCACAAGAAAAGATACATAAAAAATGTGATATTTTAAAAGGGTTTCAAACTCAAGAAAATGAATGTGGGTAGATTGCATGTCTGTCAAGAATACATTCACCTACTGAAAGAATCAGTTGGTACCAACCTTGATAAATGTTGTCAATGAAGTTGTTATTATTCCAAACAATTTGAATATTTGCAGTTAGTTCCTGTTCGTCAGCTGCATAATCATACTAAATGAGATTTTAAAAGAAAACTGAAAATAAAATTCTGAAAAAAAATTGTAAGTGTAGCCACATCAAAATTTAAAATACAAATGACAAAATAACTTAGAATCAGAGTCTCTTTGGAGGTGCACTGGAAGGCTGAATGTTTGAGGATATTTTACATTTATAGTTAATCTTTTAAGTGCAGAGTTAATTAAGATGTATCAAACAAGGATAAAGTCTTACTGTGTATTGGGAACAAGTAATATTAGGTTTCTCAACAGACGCCGGAATAGTTGATGTTTTCCCCTCAATTGTCAGCACACACTCATAGACACTGGGGACCTGAACAAAATTATGAATACAAAGAAAAATAAATAAGAAAAAATGTTCAACTTGCTGTCAGAATAAAACCAACATAAAATTTGGTTCAAAAAACACTGGTAACAAACCAAAACAAGTTTAAATTATAAACCTAAAACATTTTGTTTTAATTGCTGACCTAGATATTTAAATTTAATATGAAATGACAATAAAAATATTATTTTACTAAGAATAAAAAAAATGCACTGTTTTGGAATACAAAATAATTATATTTAATTTGAAAAAAAATAGGTATTATAGAGAACCTGTAAAAAAACCCCAAAACCAAGGTTTAGTCTACAATGCTCGGTGTTATTATTTAAGATAGTTTATTCTGGCAGCCCCGCACTGATTGTATAAGTAGTAAATGTAATTCTAGAATGTACTTCCTAAAATGAAGAATTAAGAGCTGGTCTTAATATCTCATATCAGTTCCAGTTTGGGGTCAATATCACTCATAAATAAAGCAAAGTAGAGGAACAGGTCCAAAGAGGAGCGCTTAATTGTATCCTCCCCACTCCCCCCCCCCCATCAAAAATTGTATAATAGATGTTCAATGTATGATAACCTGCATCCCTCTCATGATGAATAATATGAATCAATATTACTAGGTATAGTGTACAAATAGTTACTACAGTATTAGGGAGCTTTTGATTTCTGCGACCACGCAACGCTAGAACGAAATCACTCATGCGTGACCCTCCTACCTGGCGTCTTACGTTCTCTGCATTAATACATTTGGCCAAATTGCGTTCCAGAACCTACTCGATGAGGTGAAATTAACGTTCTCGCATGCGTAAATGACTTTTAGTGAAGTCATTACGTTCTACGTCCTACCGTCGTTGTGCAATCGAACGCCCTCTAATAACAAACGATGTATGACATGACCTTTAACACTTATTTCTTACTTTTGTTGCATTTGGTAAATTTTTAACAGGTATACGGACTTCTTTCACCAAACTGGCATGAATCAGTTCTTCATTGGTTTGACGGATAATTTGTGGACATGAATCATGACCTTTCATACCACCAGGAGCTGGTGTCACAGTTGCCTTATTAAAATAAATATGCAGATATTGAAATATTTATAATGTAATTAGAGAAAATGTTCAAAAATCTCATTAAAAGCATTCACATTTAAAATTATAATTTCAGTATTACTCACATTGCCATTCAAGATCACTTGATCATCTGCACTACAGAATGCTGGAGCATTTTGGGTACATGTGTTGCCATTGAGACACCAAACACAGGTAAAGCTGGTAACACATTCGGAACAACTAAAATAAAAAAAGAGTGGAGCGTAGTCTTGTATTCAAATCCATGTCCAATCCCTTCTCCTCTTAAAGGGCACCCTATAATTTAAGTGTTACTCTAAGTAATACTTGCTGTTAGATATGTTCATACAGTGGAAGTGCACTTTATATTACTATAGTGACACAGATATTAAAAATATATCATGTCCTTACATACATTTGTAGACCTTTTGCTAGATGCAAAATAATACTGAATCATTATTATTTATTGTCTTTGTAATTTGGCAAGAGCATTATTATAAAACAATCTAAATATTTTTTCTGTTAATTGTTTAGCTCATGCTGTGGTTTGGTAGTGAAGTTGCCTTACTTTAAATCCTAGGGCAAATAAGTATGACTTTTCTCACAACAATAATTACACTTCACTGAAAAGGCAAAAAGAGACAAGGTTCTAGAACATTTATATACTTTTTAATAAAGACAAATTACACTAAGTCTTAATAGTTCACATGCTAAAATTTACATAATCAATAACAAACTAGAATTAGAATCCTTTTGATCAAAAAATCTTTTCCGCACACTAGTTGCCTTTAAACTGTTCAAAACTATTCTGGTAATTATAATTGGTGCAACCACAATTGTGCCAAATGCATTGTTCAATTCACAGTTCAAATACAGGCAATAGGTTTGAAGTGAGGATTTTCCTCTATTATATAATAAAATTACAATGAACAACTTTAAAGGCTCACGATAACAAACAACTTTGACATTACACAATTGATGGTCACAATAACCATCTTTGGGAGTTGTGGTGGATTTTCTTGATGACTCAGTGAACAGATATATTTACTCTGAGATACTATTTGCTTTATTTCCTCAAAATCATATTACAAATTTTTCTACAGATTAAAATTTATTTACTTCCTTGTAAATTATATGTCTATATTTGGTGATTAAAATTCAGAATATTGGCTGTTTTCATTTTTAAAATTTCATTTTACTATATATTTTTGGGTATAATGAATTAATTGTCCATATATAAAATAATGTAAAGTAATCTTATTCTAAAATGTAGGGTTTACAAATGAATTAGTATGTAGCGGATTAAACATTAAATTGTTCCAACTGATAAATGGAACAGTGTACTATTTAACTCATTATTACTAATTTATTTGTAATGAGTTGTACATTGTTTCAACTGGTAATTTAAATTATGAAAAAACATCATCAGATGGTACAAAATAATAAAAATAGTTATGAATAGTGCAATAACATACAGTTTATTTATATTTTAAGTTATTCACAGCCTGTGTTGGACTAAATGCAAGGAAATGGCATAAATAAGACTGTTATTATTTTATTATGAAAATCTGTGCAAAAACTAAACTGTTTTGATCTCATTGAAAGCTAATAAGCTTAGTTGATATTTTCTAGGAGCAATTTTATTTTTCAATTGCCTCTTTGAGTCATTTTCTCATATATTTTATTACAGGCAGTGTACTTGACACAGTGTGACAGTGTACTTGAAACAGTTACAATAGACTGGAATTCATAGCTGACAATATGCAAACTTCATTTTAAAAAAAATACATGATGCAAAGACAAATACAGTAATGATTGATCCAAACTAATTTGTATGAAAATAAAAATGTTTCTAATAATGATATAACACAATACATTATATTGTTTATATAACATTTTTAAATTTAAATCAACAATTTCTTTATAAAATTAGAAATTACTAATATAATGAAAGTCATACAGTAGTTTGTAAGTTTTCAAATCTGTGATGCTTTACTATAAAGAGAAATAAATATAATATAAAAATACAACATTATACAAAATAAAATTAAAGTAAAAAGTAATAAATTGTTTTTTTGTTTCAATGAAGATTACAAAATAATACAAAAGTAATGAAATCCAACTTACGATGTGATGGCACTGCAATCAAAGAACCTGAATTGAGTGGTAACAAAATCAACATCAGTTTCAGATGAATGCACAGATAACGAAACTTCTACAGCAGCTAAAAAGATGACACAATCAACTAAATTAAAAATATACTGTTCATGAAATAAATTTAAAACAGTCATTAATTATTAGATAAAATAAATTATAATCTGGTATTGACAAAAAAATATCAATGCTGTCATCTCACCTTCTTTGTTTGGTATCTGTGGCACTTGTGTTCTAGGTGGTGATGTGCAGGTGATCGTTTTTCCATCTTTCAGTCCAGGTGACACAAAATCACCAAATTTACAACTATAATTTTGGTTGACATTTAATGGTGGGAGCTGCTTAACAGTTAATTTTAGCTACGACAAGAAGAGAAAAAAATAATAATTTATATTTATCATCATCATTAGTGTTCTGCCAAAGGCAGGTCCCTCGTGGCATTCTCCAGTACTTCTGGTTCTCTGCATCTGGTGTTGCTATTGACATTCTTGCCCTGATCTCTTTCTCGCAATGTCAATCATCTGTCAGTAGGCTCCCTCAATACTTGTATTGGCTAGTTCTAGGGGTTTCAAATTCAAATTAAAAAAAACACACAATTGGAAATTTGTTGTTTGATACACTACATAAAATAGAAAAAAGTTAATCATAAAAAGTCAACACAGAAAATACAAAAGGTTGAACACACGATAAAACAATATTGCAAATCATATTCAATATAACAAGATAAAAAAAATAGCCTGAGCAGAGGTGGCTTGGGAGGTGGGGTGTCCCTCTGTACGTATGCAAAAAAAATAGAAAATTATGACCTTTTATAGTGCATTTAAAGGTGTTTAAATGTTGGAATGTCTTTAAAGGGATGTGTTGAATTAGCTATCACAAAGATATTCCAATTATAGACATAGACTGCTCTTTTTTACTCACATTATTTTTCTAGGCTATGCAGATGCATCTTAATCTCTTACCCTAGTCTAGCGTAAATTTTACTCTGGTCGTCCGAATTGAGAGATGTACAGTATAGGCCTATACCTACTGTATTTTGTTGACTATTAAAATTTAACTTGTCATGTTAACAAATCTGCTTTACGGTATTTTATGAATTAATTACGACCAGGAAGTTACAAACAAGAACCATAGCTCGGGGAACCGAATCTCAAGTACTGTACTTGCAGAGCCACGTGCATGCATTGTGGGCATTGAACTTAAAAACGTCCATTTTCCAGTGGGGTATATTATGTTTTTGAGTAGTACCAAAGTGCGAGCCAGCGAGTCATGCGAGCCAATGTGCAAGTCATGCGAGCCATACATTTAATTTTTTTTTCAGGTTATCCAGTTTTGCAAACACGTAGGCCTAGCCTATATTCTTTGGCCTAGTAGATGCAAATGAATAACACACTGGGGAGCTTTGCCTGTGTAGTCCAGTCATGCGCAGTACATATATTTTTGACTTTTTTGAATCGTCGATCCGAAAGTTAGACTGGGTTCCCAGTCCCTAATCTTTTTCTTAATCAGTTGAAATGCTTAAGAATAAATCGATTTTGGCACACATGGCGTTCCATATTACTTATTTGCATGGCGTTCCATAGTATACTTTTTATGGGCTTAGGAAAAAAGTTTCTCAACATAAACTGACGCTGGTGGCGCTTTTCGAAATGCGCTAATGTACTACGAAAAATCCATAAATTAGAGACTTGTGGCAAGTCTATCCGAAAGTATGCAGCGCTGATAGATGTTGTTAAAATACAGATATACAGATACAGATATATTTATATATATACTGTATTTATTTATATATTTATATATAAAATTTATATATTTATTTATATATTTATATATATTTATTTGTATATTTATATATATATATATATTTATTTGTATATTCATTTACATATATATATATATGTATATATTTATAATATATTTATTTATATATTTATTTTATATACTTATTTGTATATATATATATTTATTTATTTATATATATATATACTGTGTTATTATTTTATATATACTGTAATTATTTATATATTTATTCATATATGTGTTTGTATATTTATTTGTGTATTTATATATATATATATATATTTATTTGTA